TTTACTTATGGAAAACAGGATAAAATAAATCTAAAATTAATTGTCATACATTGTTCTGAATGAGAATGGAATGACCTATCCTATCAGCTCTAATCATGAATATAGATTTTTCAAGAGTGTACCTTCTTCCCCGTTTATTTCTAATAGGTAACCATTCCCAAACAAAAGCTAATTCTGGAAATTCTTGTGTATGAAGAAAGGTTTCTGGCCAGAGGAGGTAATATTTGAAACAGCCAGAAGATCAAGCTGGCACTGATTACAAGCAAGCCACTGTGCCTTAATATTAAACTAAAAATTCCCTGGTTCACTGGTACAAGGCTTATTTTACACAAAATGTGAACAAAAAGTGGTAAATTAAAAATAATGAAGAAAATTTTATTAAATATAATACCATGCAATCATCTGGCACCAATCCGCAAAGTTGATTACTGAATAACTTTAATAGCAGACTTTTTAAAAATCTGTTCCTTTAAACTTCTTTGTGGGGTGCTGTCTTCTGTATTTTTAGTGCAGGGAGAAGGGACAGGGATAGTTGCAGGGGGAGGGTTGAGGAGGGAGAGGATGAAAGATGCAGTGATAAAACAGGAGTGGAGGGCAGGGAACACTTTATGCTGAGCCCACTGTGCCACAAGAGAGAGTGGATCATCCAGGAAACAGTAGGTCTTTCTTTTTTTTTGAGACAGAGTCTCACTCTGTTGCCCTGGCTAGAGTGAGTGCCTAGCTCTCAGCAACCTCAAACCCCTGGGCTCAAGGGATCCTACTGCCTCAGCCTCCCGAGTAGCTGGGACTACAGGCATGCGCCACCATGCCCTGCTAATTTTTTCTATATATTTTTAGCTGTCCAGATAATTTCTTTCTATTTTATTTTTTAGTAGAGACGGGGTCTCACTCTTGCTGGTTTTGAACTCCTGAGCTCAAACAATCTCACTCTTGCTGGTCTTGAACTCCTGAGCTCAAACAATCCGCCCGCCTCGGTCTCCCAGAGAGTGCTAGGATTACAGGCGTGAGCCACCGTGCTGGCCAGGTCTTTCTGAATCTCTCAAGCTTTGCCCTTTCTGACAGTAAGCAAGCAGAAGAAGGTATGCTTAAAGGACCTGGTGAGCAACCGCCTGGTTGTCCCACTAACAAGTCAGCAGACTTCTCAGTTAAGATCACCCAACACTTGCCAAAGGTATTCAGTTGCGGAAGACTGTCTTAAACCCCTGAATTTTATAGCTCTAAGATAGAATTTTATGGATCAAGAAGTCCCAAATCAATATTTTTCCAGATATAATGATTTAAATAGTCTTAGCCTTTGTGAGGAAAGTGTTAGGAGGCCAGGCAGGGTAGACAGGGCTTGGCAGTTGCTTCTTTTTGATCTCTCTCTCTTTTTCCTTTTTTTTTTTTTTT